TTTTAAATTTTAATTAAATTATTTAATTATCTGAATCTTAATTTATAATTATTTTTATAATATAATAATTATTTTTATTAATACACATTTTAATTACTTACTATATATATTTTTTATAAATTCTTGTGTCTTAAAGTAATATTGACATCTCTAATGGGACGGAGAGAATATGTAATAATTTTTATATAAAGTTAATATTTTAATTTAATATAAAACTAAAAATAAAAAAAATAAAAAATAAAAATTTATTTGATATTTTTTAACAAAAAGAAACCAATACTCCCTTTGTCCCGCAACAAGGGTGGCGTTTGCTTTTTGCACGTATATTTTTTAATATTAGTATTATATTGGATTGTAGTAAAAAAGACAAAAATACCCCTACTAGTATGGTGTAATATAAAATTAATGACATTTGTGTAATATATTGTAAGTTGAAATGGTATTTATTATGTGAAGTAGGTAGTACAATTACTAAATTAGGAAATAGTAATTTTGTTTTGTGACTGACGAAAATGGAAAATGATAATCTTTCAATGAGACGGAAGCAATATATGAAATAATTTGGTAGAACCTTATTGATTAAAAAGTTTGAAACGTTAATGGCTCTTATTCATTTCCGAATTAAAACTATCAAAGTATCGATAAGAGTTTGGCCAATTTAGGATAGAACCTAGAACCAGGAATAGTAATAAAATCAATTAAAACTATTTTAAAAAATAAATCCTATGTGCATAATAAGCTGACAAAAAATAGGCATAATCTAAAAATTCAATTCAAATTTGTCATGAAAAAATCATATTTAGACTTAAGAAAAAATCATATTTAGACTTAAAAAAAAAAAAAAAATAGACTAAAAAATTTTCGAACCATAATTGATCCTCCCCAATTTCATAAATTAAATATATTTAAAATAAATTATTTTATAAATATATTAACAAATTAATATATATATATATATAAATAAAATAAAAATATAGTTCTAGAAATAATACGACGGACGGAAAAATATTATTTTTCATTTAGGATTATCCACATAAATAGGTTGTTTATTTATGTGAGTTATATATTGTTATGAAATTAATATATATGGTGAATTGGTAGTACATAAAATTATATGTTATATTATATCTTATATTAACATTTGTTACGTGGGTTATATAGCGTGATATATTGTATAATTTATTTATCGTACAATTGTACTGATGAAATCAGAATATATATATAATGTGCTATCAAAATATATGTTATATATTATATTAATACGTGCTATTTTTTTTATAAACATGTGCTGATTGAATTAAATAAACATGTACTACATATAACTATATAATGTATTGCATATAATTATATAATATGCTATCATGATATGTGTATATTATATTAATATTGCATGTAATTTATAATTCTTAAGTTATATTAGAACATCTCTTATAGTCATTACTTGTATCACATTGTCTCTTTTATTTCTCTCATCAACATCATTTTCACCTCAATATTCAAATTATTTCATTTATCACCCGTTATAATAAATCACCTTCAACTCATTACCTTTACTATTTTATAGATACACAATAATTTATTTATTTCTATATATTTTTATTATGTAATAATATACATAAACAACATATAAATAATTTATTTATCTATACATATTTCTATAATATTTTTTTAAACATGACCGTATATAATTGTACATTGAATTATACACGGACGTGTGACAACATGACCGTATATAATTATATATGGCCATGTTATGTTCCGGTCAGCTGCCACGTCAACCTCGTTACGTCTATGTCAACAATTTCCGTTATTTTTTTACGATAGAACCAAAATTGATTGAAATTGTTTATAATGAGACTAAAATTGATGAGTTTTTCATACTATGATCAAAATTGATAAATTTTGGTTATATTGGGACCATAATTGATTTTTTTCCTTCTTTTTATTTTTATAATAATTTAATTTATATATTACTTTTTATTAAATATATATTTTTGCTCTAATTAATTACCAAGTAAACATTCACATTCAACACTCAGCCGCCGCTTGCAGCAGGTTCTTTTGTCCTCTTTCTTTGTTTCCCGATTCTTTTCTTTATTCTTTCTTCTTTTCTCCTCCTTCTTCGCACTCCCCGCCACAGCCGCACTAAGTTCTTTCTGTATTTTCTTCTTTTTTCTCAATTATTTTATTTCTTCCTTCTTTTTTCCCCATCCTTCTTCACAGCCGAAGACGGTTCAAAATAACTCTTATTTATCTATTTATTTTCTCTTTTGATACAAATTGAAGTTGATATGATTTGGCTTAAATTTTACTCATTATGTCTGTTTCTAAGAGTCTCATTTACCTTTGAGTCATTGCACTTAATATTAAAAATATTTTTATATTTATATAATTTTTTACACAAATATCATTGTAATAGTGTTATAAGACACTAATATACGTATTTTTACCATTCTCTCTTAATTTGTATTACATTTTCATATAATAATTAATATTTAAATATCAACACGCAAAAAATAAATGAGATCATTAGAGCCGAACGAAAGTAGTATTTATTTTCTCTTCTGACACAAATTGAAGTGGATATGATTTGGCTTAAATTTTAGCATAGTGTGAGCCATAGCTCAGCTTTTTCAAAATATTGGGTTGGTTGATTTTTTTATGTGAATATTTATTATTTCTGTATAGAGTTTTGTGGATGGATCTCTTCCCGTGTTACTATCTAACACAATATACATATTGAATTTCAAGTTAATTTTTCATTACATTTAACTTATGAATTATGATGGAACCACAGGTTCAAACCGTAAATCGGCGGTTGAACCGGATGGGCAAGTTCTTATGTCATATTGATTTCTTAAATTTTTTGGTTGGGTAAAATAGAAGAAATCAATGGTGAGCAAAATCGATGGTGAGCAATTTACAACATTCTTGTCTTCGTTTGATTAATTCAGTTCTAAATTTGGGAATCGATTTCAAGGTTAATTTTTCTCCATTTTTGGTAGCCCTAAGAGCACAATAGAGTGATTAGTGGATTTAAAATAAATAAATAAATAAATATTCTAACATATTAGTTTCTAAAAGACTTGCAAATAAGGATGAAGACAACCGTGAAATAAGGTAGAACGAAGATACATTTAATAAAGTTAGAGAGTCATTTTAGTAAGTTCACAGAGATTTATAACTTTTTGGACCAAAAATCGTATTGAGGTGCGTGACATACACTCTCTGTTAAGTCCTAACATAGGGGGTTTTTCCTGCAACATTTTACAAATCACAAATAAATTTTTCTGGAGTTTTAAAATCAAGAAAGAGGTTTTTTTATCAAATTCATCAAATCACATGGGGGGTTTTTATATTTTTTTTGTCTATTTTATGTGATATTTTGTTAGAGTAAATAATACTATATTTTTATTGTAAATCAAAAGTGAACTTATTACATGAGGTCATGGATTAGACTTCTTCTGTGGGACCTAAGTCTTGATGCCGGACAAAAGTATTTTATATATAAATAATACTATAACATTGTTTATTTTAGAATATTTTTAATTTATTTATTTTTATTAAGAATAAAAATATATTATTATTTTTTGATAAAATATCATATCAAAATATATTACTCCCTCCGTTCTGACTATGGTGTCTACTTTACTTTAAACACGAGAATTTTTTAGAAGTATAATTACTAATAATTAGGAATATGTTAGTGAAAATAATAATTATATAATAAAAATAATTTTAGATTAAAATTAAGATAACTAATTATTCTAATTAAAATTTTAAAAATTATAAATTAAAAATTTAAAATGAGATTAAAGTGTATAATTTTTTTTTTCAAAAAAAAAAGTGACAAAGTAAGTAAGACAAACGAAAATAGAAAGATGGACACGGTAAATGGGACGGAGGAAGTAAAATTAAAATCTAGATAGAAACTTCGAAATTAAATACAATTAAATAAATTAAACGTTGTTGTACACATAATGACAACATGTAGAAGGTGTGGATGATTTAGTATGTAGCATATACGGGTTCATCTTGTGGTAAATCAACAGCCGCAACTTTCATTCTGCATCGCGGCTATAAATATGTACAAATGCAAATGGAATAAAAAGATCATCCTTTATCTTATCTCTTCCTCTACTTTATTGTTAATTCATAAATTCATATATAACATACATACTATTATAATATACACATTCCTACCTACTACAATATATATATATCTCTTGCCTATTTTATTTTTGGTAAGTTTTATTTGTATACTATCTATATTATCTATTTTCTATACTATGAGAAATTTTGCAAAATTTTCTTTTAAATCTCTATCTCTCACCGGTAATAATTTTCTGACTTGCTCCCTAAATGTAGAAATGCATCTGGTTTATATGGGCCTTGTTCATACAATTGCCAGCGAAAATACGACTACAAGCCAAGATCGGGCTAAGGCTATTATTTTTATTCGTCACCATCTGGACATTCCTTTACAGTCCGAATATTTGACGGTGAAAGATCCACTTGATTTGTGGAATGAAGTAAAGGAGAGATTTGGACATTTGAAATATATCACTCTCCCGAAAGCTCGACATGATTGGTTTAACCTGCGTTTGCAGAATTTTAAAACTGTTACAGCTATCCATCAGATTACATCTCAGTTGAAACTTTGTGGAGAAATTGTTACTGAGAATGATAAATTGGAAAAGACTTTATTTACCTTCCATGCTTTTAATGTTATGCTACAACAGCAGTATCGTAAGAAAAATTTTCAAAAGTACTCATAGCTCATTGCATGTCTTTTATTAACTGAGCAAAATAATGAGTTACTGATGAAAAATCATGAGCCCCAGCACACTGGTTCCAGTCCATTCCCTGAAGCGAACGTGACATTTTCTGAACGAGGTTGAGGACGTGGTAGAGGCCGTAGACGTAGTCGCGGTCGTGAGAGTCAACGCGGTCGATATACCCTTTACAATCACCACGGTTTTGACATTAACAAAAAGTAGAGTAAACCCCAATATGGGGATATAGCCGAAAAGGCTAAACAGAGAAAGAGACAAATCGACATTTGTAATCGGTGTGGCATTGAAGGTCATTGGGCCAATACCTGCAGAACAACCAAACACCTAGGCGAACTTTATCAAGCCTCACTGCAGAAAAAGGGAAAAGAGGTCGAGACTAATCACGTTGATAACAATGACGACCCTGATGATGATCTTCTGGATTACGACACAACGCATCTTGATATAGTGAATTTTCTTGTAGATCCAGCAAATCCCCAGTGATAGACATATTATGTCATTTTATATTATGCTATTTTATATTTTGTAATATTTAATTATCGCATATTACCTTTTTGCAATGCATTTTGTAATAGTTATATATGTCTTTATTAATACTGCATTTATTTATGTTTGAAGGTTAAATGGATGCCAATCGAAATTATGCAAATATGTGTTTCATTGACAGTGCAACGATACGTACTATATTGAAATACGAAAAATATTTCTCTCATTTGAAAAGGGGAATGATGAATATCAATACAATAAGTGGTAGTGCAAAATTAATTGAAGGCTCTGGAGAAGCCATTATATTTTTCCCCGTAGGGAAGAAAATTGTAATACAGTATGCACTGTTGGCCACTAAAGCTCGAAGAAATTTACCGAGCTTTCATGACATTCGGAAAAATGGTTGTCACATTGAAACTATGAGTGATACCGATAGTGAATTTTTATTGATTACCAATATCTTAATAAAAAAAAGTATCATTGAGAGATTACCCTATCTCTCTACTGGCTTATATTATATCAGATTAGGTGTTGTTGAAACACACCTTGCGGTAGATCAAAAGATTACCGATTTTCAGATATGGCATGATCGCCTTGAGCATCCTGACAGTATAATGATGAGGCGAATAATTGAGAATTTGCATGACCATTCATTAAAAGGTCAAAAAAGTGTTAAACTCAAATGAGTTAACATGTGTTGCCTGCACTCAGGAAAATTTGATAACCAGACCATTGCCAACTAAAGTAGGTATTGAATCACCTACATTTTTGGAAAGAATACACGGGGATATATCTGGACCTACATTTTATGGTGCTTATTGATGCATCTACCAGATGGTCTCATGTTTGTTTATTATCGACTCGAAATATGAGATTTGCGAGATTGCTTGCCCAAATTATTAAATTACGGGCACACTTCCCCGATAATCCAATTAAGACTATACGTCTAGATAATGTTGCTGAATCTACATCGAATGCATTTGATGATTATTGCATGTCGATTGGAATTAATGTAGAGCACCAAGTTGCTCATGTTCATACACAAAATGGTCTGGAAGAATCACTTATTAAAAGATTGAAATTGATTTCTAGACCAGTACTGATGAGGTCTATGTTGCCCATTTAAGCTTGGGTGCATCCAATCTTACATGCAGGAACACTCATAAGAATGAGACCAACAAGTTATCATAGTTATTCCCCTATGCAATTAGTATTTGGTCACGAACCAAATATATCTTATCTACGTATTTTTGGGTGTGTTGTTTATGTTCCTATTCCACCACCCAAACGTATAAAAATGGGTCCTTAATGTAGATTGAACATTTATGTCGGATATGAATCACTGTCAATTATAAAATATCTCGAGCCTATGACGGGTGATTTATTCAATGCAAGATTTGCATATTGTCATTTTGGCGAATCATATTTTCCGACATTTAGAGGAAGACATAATGAACCAAAAAGGGATATTAATTGGAAATCCCATTGAATTTTTGTGATCCTCGTACAAAGCAGTGTGAACTAGGTTCAACGCATTATAAATTTGCAAAATATTGCAAATCAGTTACCAGATGCATTCAATTACTCGAGTAAAGTCACTTGATCATATATTGAAGCTGCTAATGCTCCGGCTAAAATAATTGTCCCTGATGGACAAATTAGAAGTGCTAATAAATCAGTGAAACGCTTGAAACGTGGTGAACCACTGGTTTCAAAGACAAACATTCTAAAAAAAAAAAGATGAATTAAAGATGATAGTCATGAAAATATCAGCATTGACAGTGATAAACCTCAATCTAATGAGGAAGCCAACCATGAAATAATTGCTCTAGAATAGCACGATCTTGAAAAACATGATGAGATTATTGAAAACTCAATTAAATATGTTACTTCAAGAAAATGTTGGAACCGTAAAAAGACAATTATTGATAATGCCTTCGCATACAGTTTAGCACTTGATATACTGGAAGAAAATGAGGATCCAGAGCCAAAATCGGTTCATGAATTTCGACAAAGAAATGACTAGCCAAAATGGGAAAATACGGTTCAATCAGAGTTTGACTCATTAAGCAAAAAGGAGGTCTTCGGACCAATTGTTCAAACACCAAATTGTACAAAACCAGTTGAATACAAATGAGTGTTTGTACGAAAAATAAATGAACATAATGAAATTGTGAGAAATAAAGTCCGTTTTGTAGATCAGGGATTCTCACAAAGACCTGGAGTAGATTTTGATGAAACATACTCTCCGGTTGTTGATGGAATGACATTTAGATACCTTGTGAGCCTAGCAGTGCGAGAAAAGCTCGACATGCGTCTTTTAGACGTAGTTACTGTATATCTTTATGACTCTTTGGATACTGATATTTATATGAAAGTTCCTGATGGACTCAATATGCCTTAAGCATACAAATTAAGGCCAAATGAATCATATTTCATCAAATTTGAAAAGTCATTGTATGAACTTAAATAATCAGGGCGAATGTGGTATAATCGTCTTAATGAATGTTTAATAAAAAGAAGATTATATTAATGATCCAATATGCCCATGCTTTTTTATTAAGAAAAATTGATCAAATTTTGTCATTATTATAGTATATGTTGATGATCTCAATTTAATTGGAACTTCAGAAGAAATCCAACTTGCAGTTGAATATCTAAAGAAATGATTTGAGATCAAAGATTTTGGAAAGACAAAATATTGTCTGGGATTACAAGTCGATCATGTTAATAATGGAATATTTATCCATCAGTCCACATATACCCAAAAGGTATTAAAGCAATTTTATATGGATAAATCTCACTCTTTGAGTACACCAATGGTGGTCAGATCCCTTGATCCCAGTAAAGATCCATTTAGGCCAAGAGAAAAAAATGAAGAAATACTTGGCCCCAAGGTACCATATCTCAGCGATATTGGCGCATTAATGTACCTTTCAAATTGTACCAGACCAGATATATCTTTCTCAGTAAATCTACTGGTCAGGTTTAGTGCATCCCCCACAAAGCGTCATTGGAATGGTATCAAACACATTTTTCGTTATCTTTAGGGGACTCATGACCTAGGTTTATTTTATTCGAGTGAATCTCGAAATGAATTAATTGGTTATGTTGATGTTGGTTATCTGTCTGATCCACATAAAGAAAAATTTCAAACTTGTTATTTATTTACTTATGGTGAAACTGCAATCTCTTGGAGATCGAATAAACAGACGATAACAGCTACTTCTTCAAACCATGCTGAGATTTTAGCAATCCACAAAGCCAGTCGTGAATGCGTTTGGTTGAGGTCTATGACTCACCAAATTCAGAAAAATTGTGGCTTGATTAATGATAATTATTACCTCTTACAGTTTTGTTTGAAGATAATGCAGTTTGTTAGCTCAATTATAGGGGAAATATATTAAAAGCGATTGAACAAAACACATATCTCAGAAGTTCTTTTTCACTTAACATTCTTCAGAAAAATGGTGAAATTAATGTGCAGCAAATTCGATCGTCTGAAAATTTTGCAAATTTATTTACGAAGGCGCTACCGATTGCAACATTCAATAAACTGGTGCAAGAAATTGAAATGTGTCGAATGAACGACATCAAATAAAGTCCAAAACAGGGGAAGTACATTAATACAAGAATGATGTATTCTCTTTCCTTCATTATGATTTTTTTCCCACATAATTTTTTTTCATAGTAAAATTTTAACGAAGCACATTTTTCATATAAACCATCCAATGGGGAGTATTGTACACATAGTGACGTGTACAAGGTGTGGATAATTTAGTACATAGCATATACGTGTTCATCTTGTGGCAAATCAACAACCTCAACTTTCTTTCCGCATCGTGCCTATAAATATGTACAAATACAAATGGAATAAAAAGATCATTCTTTATCTTCTCTCTTCCCCTACTTTACTATTAATTCATAAATGCATATATAACATACATACTGCTCCCTCCGTCCCATCGGAAAGGTGACGTTTGTTTTTTGCACGTAGATTTTTGAATATTAGTATTATATTGGATTGTAGTAAAAAAGACAAAATACCCCTATTAATATGGTGTAATATAAAAGTAACGATATTTGTGTAATATATTGTAAGTTAAAAGGGTATTTATTATGTTAAGTAGGTAGTACAATCATTAAATTAGGAAATAGTAACTTTGTTTTGGGACGGATGAAAATAAAAAATAATAACCTTTCAATTGGACGGAGGGAGTATTATAATATAAACACATTCCTACCTACTACAATATATATATAAATATATGTATTGAATACTTACTAATTATATTATATTATTATATATAACAAATATAAATAGTTTAAAAATTATACATATATTTATAATATTTATTTCAAATATATATTGATAAAAACAAATAAAAAGACCAAAAAAGAAAGAAAAAGTGTGTTTTTTTAGCTAAAATTTTAAATTTTTATTATTTAAACTTCGTATTTTTTTTAAGGTAAAAATAAAAAAAAATAAAAATCTCCCAAAATATGTAGTCATATTTCAATGCCAAATTTAACACACTGTTTGGGTCTTGAATGTGGGTTCAGGTAGCCTATGCCCAGCCGGCCGTGATAAGGTTCCACGTCATTAAAAATATTAGTATAACTTATATACAAGATTGGCTTCTAAAAATCAAACAAACAAACCGTGAATAATTGTAATTTTATGGAGTAATACAGAAAATAGACACAACCTACAAAGAAAGAGAATTAAATATTTATAAATATAAAAGAGAAAAAAAAAAAAAAAAAAAGAGGTGGCAAGAATCCAGCGTGGATAGCCAAATTAGGAATAGAAATGAGCAGTAGACACCCTACAAGGGCAACGGCAAATACCAGTAGCAGTAGATAACCATCCATACCTAATTAATTGTACGCCGTCCAATGGCAACCCTCCACGTGGCGCATTAAAGTAAAACCAGGCGTGTAGATAAAAGATTAGGAAGTGTAGGTCACCTCTCTCCCCCTTTCCCCCCCAACATTTTCAATTCCTTAAAAACCTCCCTCCCTCCCTCCATCTCTTCCATCAACTTCACTTACTATTCTTCACACCCACAAATACAAATACAATCGTATTTTCCGACAACCTCGTCTGAGCTGAGGTGGGGTTTGCATTTTCATCTACATACATTCTCCACTGATTATTATTATTATTATTTTTTTCTTTTTCTTGATTCTTGTGCTGCTGTACAACCTTCCACCTAACTGTAACCAACTGGATATATTTATAATTGTATCTACTCTCACTCTCTCTCGTCTCGATTTTATAGGAATCTGCAAAAGTGGTTCTTCTTCCATTTCGATTGGTGGTTAATCATGTCGAGAGTTGTCGCCGACGATACGCCGCCGCGAGGGGACAGCTACCCGTTGCGGGATTTGGGTTCGGGTTTGGGTTTGGGTTCGGGTCTGTCGCCGACGCTGGGGCAGCTGCTGAAGTGCGTCGGAGATGTGAGGAAGGAGGTCGCCGGAGACGAGACACCGGTGCATCAAGTGGTGGAGATGGGCGACGCGGCGGTGGTGCCGCGGGCGGTGCCGTTTGTGCTGTCGTTTAATAACATTACGTACAGCGTGAAGGTTCGCCGGCGGGTTAATTTCTGCTTCGGGCGGCGGGCGGCGACGGCGACGGCGACGAAGACGATTCTGAATGACGTCTCCGGCGAGGCTCGCGACGGCGAGATTATGGCGGTTATGGGGGCGTCGGGGTCGGGGAAGTCGACGCTGATCGACGCGCTGGCGAATCGGATGGCGAAGGAGAGCTTGAAAGGGAGCATCACGCTCAACGGAGAACAGCTGGAGTCGCGGATGCAGAAGGTGATCTCAGCTTACGTGATGCAGGACGACCTGCTTTTTCCGATGCTGACGGTGGAGGAGACGCTCATGTTCGCGGCGGAGTTCCGGCTGCCGCGGACGCTGACGGCGGCGAAGAAGAAGCTGCGAGTGCAGGCGCTGATTGACCAATTGGGGCTGCGGAACGCCGCCAAGACGGTCATCGGAGACGAAGGCCACCGCGGCGTCTCCGGCGGGGAGCGCCGGCGAGTTTCGATCGGAATCGACATTATCCACGACCCGATACTGCTCTTCCTCGACGAGCCGACCTCCGGCCTCGACTCCACCAGCGCTTTCATGGTGGTCAAGGTGTTGCAGAGGATTGCACAGACCGGAAGCATCGTCATCATGTCGATTCATCAACCGAGCTACCGAATCCTCGGGTTGCTGGATCGGATGATCTTCCTGTCGCGGGGACAGACTGTTTACGGCGGCGCTCCGCCGGCGCTGCCGCAGTTCTTCGCCGACTTCGGCCACCCCATCCCCGACAACGACAACCGTACGGAATTCGCCCTCGACCTCATCCGCGAGCTCGAAGGCTCCGCCGGCGGCACCAAAAGCCTCGTCGAATTCAACAAAACATGGCAGTCAATGAAACGCGAAAATCAAAATCAAAATCAAATCCCTAATTTGACGAACCTGTCGCTGAAGGAAGCAATCAGCGCGAGCATTTCACGGGGGAAGCTCGTCTCCGGCGCCGCCGCAACAACGAACGGAGGAGCAAACACTCCGGCGTCGCTAGTCCCGACCTTCGTAAACCCTTCCTGGATAGAAATGGCGGTTCTATCAAAACGCTCCTTCACAAACTCGCGCCGAATGCCGGAGCTCTTCGGCGTCCGTCTCGGCGCGGTGATGGTGACCGGATTCATCCTAGCGACGATGTTCTGGCGGCTCGACAACTCCCCCAAAGGCGTCCAGGAGCGCCTCGGCTTCTTCGCTTTCGCCATGTCCACAACCTTCTACACCTGCGCCGACGCGCTACCGGTCTTCCTCCAGGAGCGGTACATCTTCATGAGAGAAACCGCGTACAACGCCTACCGCCGGAGCTCGTACGTGCTCTCCCACGCGCTCGTCTCCCTCCCGGCGCTGCTCTTCCTCTCCCTAACCTTCGCCGCCATAACTTTCTGGGCGGTAGGTCTGGACGGCAGCTTCGTCTTCTACTTCCTGATAATCTTCGCATCGTTTTGGGCGGGGAGCTCGTTCGTGACGTTCCTGTCAGGCGTGGTCCCCCACGTGATGCTAGGGTACACCATAGTGGTGGCGATTCTGGCCTACTTTCTGCTATTCAGCGGTTTCTTCATCAACCGCGACAGGATTCCGGCGTACTGGATCTGGTTCCACTACATATCGCTGGTGAAGTATCCGTACGAGGCGGTGCTGCAGAACGAGTTCGGAGATCCGGCGAAGTGCTTCGTGAGGGGGATACAGATCTTCGACAACACACCGCTGGGGGCGGTGCCGGCGGCGCTGAAGGAGAAGCTTCTGGAGAGCGTGAGCAGGTCGCTGGGGATGAGGATAACGCCGGCGACGTGCGTGACGACGGGGGCGGACATTTTGGAGCAGGAGGGGGTGGATGACGTGTCAATGTGGGGGTGCTTGTGGGTAACCGTCGCCTGGGGGTTCTTCTTCAGGGTGCTGTTCTACTTGTCGCTCTTGATGGGGAGTAAGAACAAGAGGAGGTAAATTTATTTAATAGTAATTATTATTAATTATAAATAGTGAAAATATATAAAAGTATATATAATGAAATATGAATAACACACACAAGAAGTTTTTCTGTATCTATTTTAATGGATATTGTTGTTGTTGTTGGTAAGTGGTAAGTGATATGATATAATTGTTGTTGTGGTTGTATACACTAATGACTGGGATTTTTGTTGCTTTATTAGCTCCAATCTTGCATGTATGTATTTTTATGTGCTTAGCTTGTTGAGATGACACAATGAATAGGGGTATGAAAATCTTAATTGTTTTGTTTCGGTGTAACATCGAATTTATAAATTTTATGGTTCGGTTATAACTTTCAAATTTTATTTCAGTTAAGTGAAATAATCAAATTTTAAGAGAAATAAAAGAAAATTTGAGTACTTTGGTTTGTAGCGTTAAATTCTTCAAAATAGGATATGATTTACAAAAAATTATTCAAAAAGTTTAGAGTTTATACCAAATCGAATTACATAAGAATTTTCAATCCTTTGCTCTATTCAACTGAGCTACCAGAACCACTTTCTTAAAGTCTATTTTCTTTATCGATTAGGGCCTGCTTGCCAGCCTCGCAAAGCTGCAAAATAAAGTATCAGTTCCTACACCACAAAAAAACTTGCAAAATGCAGTAGTTCGGTGAGTAGGGTCGTCTCCGCAGGGAATAATAATAATATTGAATATTCGGTTATCTAAAATTATACAATATATATAATGGGGGTTGAATTTATCACACTAAAATAAGAGAAAATAAATTCGCTCAACTAAATAAAATAAAATAAAATAAAATGCACAGCAGATTACCAAAGATGATTAGACTCTAGCATATGCATGAATTTTTCATTCGGGATATGAAATTTGATCATCGACTAAAAGTCAAATTCATCGACTAGTTGGATAAATTGGTTAAAGTTGATCTACACGCGTTCAAAACCAACCTTTCCTTACTTTTTCGATAGCTAAGGTACGACCGTTAGCTATTTTTCTAATCGAGAAAGAATCCTAGGTACGACTGTAGTTTTCTAACTCGACAGCAGTAAAAACTAGAAAGACCCAATTCAATTTAACAATCTCCTACGACGATTTGTTTAAAAACTTATTTTAATTCTTCCCTAGAGTATTCTTCTCTAGGTTGCTATGCTAATTGAAAAATTACACAATTTCGTATGTCAATCCCCAATATAGCTATGAAATACTAAATTGATACGGGCGCAATAATCAATTCAGGATTTCTAAACTCATCAATTAGAAAAATTAAAAATACCCAACATCGATGAACACCAATTTTAATCGAAACCAAGTCTCACAATTTCAATCCCGAAAATCAATTCATACCTACACTAGAAATGAAACTACTCGCAATCCATAGCAATTAAAAAAATAAAATAAATCAAAGAGTTCATCATGCCCTCAAGTTTAAAAATTGACAACAAACCAATTTTAGAAATGAAGAAAAATGGTGTCCGAAAGTTCTTCTGCGTTGCTCTCCAAAGTTCTCGTACGTAGTGTTCTTCCTTCGTTTCTCTTCTCTCTTAGAAATAGGTTGTAGGTGAGATCGTGGTAGAGAACGTGGTAGTTCCCTTCTCTTCTCCTCTTCAATTAAAAAAATCGTGTCTCTTCAAGTCCATCCCAAGATCCCCTTTGCACTTTAAACCAAAACAATTCTAAAATTGCTAATTAACCCCGGAGGACCTTTTGCAATTTTCATTTTTTTCTGCTTCGTGATCACGCTTAAGGACTTCCTGCGTTCTGCTTTTCTCTCCAATATGCCCAAAATTTGTCAACTCTTCAACGCCTAGTAGAAAGTTCAAAAACACATCATTAGGAGTATATATACAAACTTCGCATCCAAAAACCGTCTAAAATATAACAAAATATTTGTCTAATATCGCATATATCAACTCCCCCACACCTATCTCATGCTTGTCCTCAAGCATATATCCAAACCAAGAATTGAAATACTCACTAGCGCAAAAGTCACTCAACCATGCCACCAACTACGTCGGATTCAAAGCATACAAGAACCAACTAACCTCACTAAATGAGGAATTTATATAAGTAAAAGCTCTCACCCTTAAGTGTTTAGGCTATATTCACTCAATGCACATGAAGTAAACGACGAACCCCATAGGCTTGCAAGCAAATCAAATCAACTCCACAATTCATCAAGAAGTCAATGTTCATAATCAAAGATCTTAATAGAAGGTTTGTAATGGGGCTTTGGTTCTGGTAGGAAAAGGGAAATTAGTGGCTAATGGGACCGAGGAATTAATCTATCAATTCATCACATCAAAATGAACGTAATTCGCACTCATGTATGAATAAGAACAACATAACAAGAACAACACAATACTTCCCAAGATTTGATCAATGCAAGACAACATCATACTTACTTTTCTTTTCACGAGTCCCTTTTTTTTTTAGGACTCGGAATATTTTTTTCTCTTCTTTTTTTTTTTCACACAACCTCTTTTTTTTTTTTATAGGAGGTTGGTCAATGAAATGCTTTTGGCAAAAATATATATGAATTTATTATTGTGCCACATATACGAGAACTTCCAAATGCAACTATCGAATAATATACTGATAATATGCAACTCTAAATAATCTAATGTAATGAATAAAAGAACAATCCCTCGAATTTCCATGGGCTCAAGTAAACGTTCGGCTTATTCCAAGAAAAAGGCATATCGGCTTGGGTTAAATATGAACCAAGAAAATAAGATAATAACATTAAACTCAAACTTTGGTTCACTAGGGGATAATAGGGGTGAAGGTATGAAATTAAGGCAAACAAGGGTAAACCTAGTGCCTTATCATTTTAATCCCATCAATTCTCAATAAACGCGGAGTAAATAAGCATAAACAAGCAAGTTCTAGGTAGTCAAATACAACATATGTTCACACAATCCAAAAAAATTGAGCATATATGATATGTATAAGTGAATTTTCTCAAATAAGGCTCAAATAACTCACTTAAGGGTTTCTTGTTAGAAGGCTAAGCACACTCGTCATCTAACTTCATCAACAAACATGAAAAGATCCTAATAAACTAAGTAAAGCACAACAATCTCAGCTCGACATACACAAGATGACATGCAGGGAAGTATATCAAAATAAAGCATTATAGAGCATCAAAAGTTCTAATCTCCCCCCACACCTAATTGAGGCAATGTCCCTATTGCAAGAACAAAGATGAAATAAAGGAAAGAAGAAAATAAACTTCCCTGGAATAGGTGGGGGCGACCGGCCCGCTTAGGACCGGCTACGGGCGCGCAAAAGTTTTTCAATGGAGTCTAAATGTCCTTTTAGAGTCGCTTGTCTGGCTAAAATCGCATCAAGCTTGCCACAAAGGTCATTATTATCCTCATTCAGTATTTTAACATCAGATGCCAACGTCTGTAAAGTAAAGCCAGTGGCGGAGCGCGCAAGAGCACCATCCTCAGTAGAAGCAACGATAGGGAGTTCCTCTCGGTCATCATCAAACTGGACTACATCGCGATGGGACGGCCGACGCCACCGATTAACAAGGCGATATCCAGCATCATCTTTCACTACCATACCCATGCGGAACAATACCACCATATCCAAGTACTCGATTGGTCCCACTTTATGGAGGCGCCTCCTAGAAATAACAGAAGCATCAATACTAGGGAGAACACCCAAACTAATAGCAAGAGTAGTTATAAACGAGGCACCAATCAAATCTCTTTTTTTCTTAAAAACTTCACTAAACTGCACAGCCAACCAGTACCCAAGATTAACCCTAATGCCACTAGTCATGCACCATAGAAAGAAAAATTCAGTTTTAGTAACAATACTGGAGATACCCCTACGCCCGGATATAAATGAAGTAATAAAACACTGAATATAACGAAGGGCGGGGTCCTTCAGTCTACGGGCAGGCATATTATTGTCAAAACAAACTTTTCCATCAACAGAAAATTCACTCCATAATCTCTCGATTGAAACAGAAAAGGGCTCAACAAATGCACATGCAGCGGTACTGAAAGAATCATCCTCAAGCTCCTCGGAAGTCACAAAACCTAAATGTAAATTAAATTCTGCTAAAGAAAGCTTAAACACTTTACCAAGCAAACGGAATCTAATTACATCATTACATCAAATTGTTTAGGCAAGTCAAACACAAATGTAGAGAAGAACTCGAGGGCAAGTTCAATGAAACCAGGTTGTTGACAAGTAAATAAACAACTCCACCCAATGCTAGATATATAATCAAAAACAGCATCTTTAATGCCTAACTTCTCAAGTGTTTTAATGTGAATGCACTTACCCGAGAAAATGCTCTTAGTGCACAAAAGTTCGTACCTTGTCTGTTCCTCGGGTGTGAAAGAATGTAAATGGCCCCCAACTTGAGTTGGAGGCAACACTTAAACTGAGTTACCTTTTCGTGCCCGTGCATTGGTGGGTGCAAAAGTAGGAAAATCGACTGGAATTGTGGGCATTGTATTACCCGCATCTCTACCCTGCAACTGAGAAGATGTCTGTTCCCTCAGTGCCTGTTCCTTTGTTCTTTTGCATCCTCTCGTCTTTGAAATAGTCGACGACCACGTAGCTATTGGAACCCTTGCGGGAACCGAATCCGATGCCCGCACTTTAGTCATAATGCATGCACGCCAAAAAATTCAACAACTAAATAACAAGTCCTCAATTAACCCCAACACCAAAAATAATTTCACAACAAACATTCAAATATTATTTGACAATATCAATCACCCAATAATCTATATGCATCCACTTATCGATTGCATCAAACAACCTCTACGAAAATCGCCCAAATTAAAATTCTTCATCATCAACTTATTTTATATCATATCGAGGCAATAATCGATAGAGATTTCTCAAGAGAATGCAATATAGATTAAGAGTAAATGACTTCCCTGAAATTTCCACTGGTGACTCGCGGCTGATCGTCAGCGGCAGCGCAGAACAACCGTATAGCAGTAGTTTGAGATTGGGAGCAGCGCGCGACGGAGGAGGCTGCTACTGGCGGGCGGCTTCAGCGCGCCGACTTGGCGAAGGAGGCACGCTGAATTGGCGGACCGGAATCGGACAGATGGATAGTGGCTGGGCGACGGCTTAGGGGCAGCGAACTGGCGACTTCACGGACCGGCGTCTCGACTGGCGGAGGAGCAACGGCTGCGTGAACTGGTTCAGGGCGGAGCAAAGAGGGAGTCAGCGGCTTCTGCGAGAGAATGAGGGAGAACTGATTTGAATCAAGAGGT